ATCTGCAAGCATGGTGAACGTAGGATGGCAGCCAAGTCGTCTATAAAAATGAGGAACAGTAGGGAACACTGAGCCCTGTGGTACTCCACTAGTGGGTATGGCTTTGGCCGATAATTTTTCTCTAATCCCCACGTAAAATATACCACCCGTCAGGAAATCCCTGATCCAGTTATGTATCTGCTCCCCTATCCCCTTGTGTTGGAGCTTAGCTAACAGAAACCTGTGATTAACTGAATCAAAAGCTTTTCAGAAGTCTAAATAACAGACTTCCACAGCTTTACCCTCATCTTACCTCGAGGTTACCTTATCTAAAAAACAGTAAATTAGATAGGCATGATCTACCCTTGATAAACCCGGGTTGTTGGTCAGTAAGCAGTGAGTTATGGAGTAAATACTGTGCAATGTGCGTCCTAACTATCCGTTCTGGGCACTTACACAAAATACTCGTTAGGCTCACCGGCCTGTTATTCTTAATCTGGGATTGTGGTCTTCCCTTGTGAAAGTTGTTTGTTTGTTTACCCCGAATACGATACGGTTGTCGTAGATACATTAGGCGAATTTTTGATTCGGGAATGGCGAAGAAAAAGGTAGAGGTAGCGCTACAGGAAGAAATAGAAACACAGGAGGAGTGGGAAAATATCCTGCAAAGAGAAGGACTTATAAGTGGGTTTCCGTTTTAATCTCATCTTTTCCTTAGTTATCGATGTTTATCAAGATTGGTCCGGTCCTTGCAAGGCTGTCGCTGGACTATTCCGTCGTCTGAAAACGGAACTCAATGATGACCTATTACATTTTGCGGTAGCTAAGTCTGACACAGTAGAAGCTTTAGAAAAATATAGAGGGAAGTGTGAACCATGTTTTTTATTTTACGGAGTAAGAATTGGAGTTATTATTAGGACTTTTCTTTAGGGTGGATGTTTGGTGGCAGCTGTTCGTGGTGTAAATCCACCCGAACTTGAAAAAAACATAATTGAAAAACTCAAACAAGAGCATGAGGTGATGAAAGGCGAAGTCGAAAGAGTTGAAGTAGGCATTTTTTATTTTCCTAATGTCACGTGCCAACCACGTGAAGATTAAAGATCCTGTTCTACTCGCCCAAGAAATGGCTGAAATGGAAGCCAGGCAGCGCAAAGAAGAAGAAGAAGGTTGCAAAATTTGTTTCATTACTTTATCTAAATTCAACAGAAGTTCCCCAAGAGGTCACTATTGCCATTCTGAAGCCTGATATTGTTTCTTCTGGACGAGTTGATGACATAATAAATGAGGTAGATTTATCTACTCTTATTCAACCTTTTCGTAGTTGGAAGAGCGAGGAATTGAAATACTTGAGAGAAAGCAACACGAGTTCACAGTTGAAGAGGCCGAAACGTTCTACGAAAAGTTGAAGGATGAATCATATTTCAATAACCTCGTAGACTTTATCACTTCCGGACCAAGCGAAATCCTGATATGTGCAAAAGGTGCCGAAGGAATCATCGAAGAACTTCGCGGTCTAGTTGGGCCGGCCGTGTCAGAAATGGAGCCGGATGAAGAGCATTTGTGGTTAGTTTTTCTCTTGTTGTATTGTGTGTATTGTGTTTAACTTTTGCAAGCAATATTGCTCCATATGGAGCTCACATTTCGGTTAGAAAAATAACACACGCTAACCGCGTGTGTGTACATTGTGACGCGTTACAATGTACATAATCAATGGGGAAAAGATTTTACAGGCCAGGGAACATTTCATAATCCAAGGTAAAGAAAAAGTTCAATGAAACAGCCTGGTAAAATCAACCCACAGTTTATTTCCTTTCATTTAATCGCTCTACCAGTTCTCCGTGGTATCGGCGGTTCAATTAGCTTGAGCACTAAAGTGTTGAAAGCTATTGGCTTAAATTTGAGCCAAAAGCTTTTTCTGAAAAGGATATTGTTAGAGCGCTGTATGAGATTACTTAAAAGTTTTCAAAGTTCAGCTCTAGGGCAGCAACTTCTCAAACCATTCGAGCAGTGAACCACTGTTGCTGGTTATTCACTCTGCGGTGATGTGTGCTCTTTGGTGAGGAATGTAGCCCTTAAATTAAGTCTACAATGAATTTTTTTAGATAACTAAGATATTTAACTCCCACAAAGAATTTGAAAAAGTTAGAAGGCAAACACTGCGACAAGATCTACTTTCGTATACCATCATTAGTTGTTTACGTCAGATATTGAGCAAGATAGATAAAGGAAGTGAAGCAAATCTAGTAAAGTTTAATCATGTGTGTGTGCGTTTATGTACCTGTATATGTGTGATGCCCATGATTGGTTACAGCCAGGGAAGACCAAGGGTAATGACCAAATGCATTTGGATACAACATGAGTTTGTTATGAGTGATTGATATTGCCTCGAGTATACCTAATCGTTGTTTGTCCCAAGAGGGCGTTCGGACGGACGTTCTCATAAACGCACACAATAGAGCCTAATTGACTTTTTTGTTACTTCTTTCTTCTTCGTTCCTATTTATTGTCATACTTACGCCACCGAGGAGAGTAAACAAAAGGAGATCCTCTCAGAATGGTTGCTTTTGACTTGTGTGTTTAACTTAATTTCAGTTTCATTTGATAAACATAATAGGAACAAGCAAAGGCAAATTTTAACAATCAAATCAGAAAGCAAACTGGCAATCTTGAAAGTTTCTACAGTTCCAGTTCAGTTTGTATAACTAATAATCATGTTTTTCCGTGTGTCCGTTTTGGTTGCTGTCCTTTGGCTGCCTGTTTAAATGAAAAGTTGAAAGCGAAAATTAATAAAAAATGAGTAATTTAACTACCGTAACCCTGCTTAATGTTTTCATATCTTCGTGTCAGATCTTAGGTTGACCACCCTTGACGTTTTTCCGACCACTGCCCTCTTCGGCGAACAACCCACGGCGTGGCAACCTATCTGGTAACATGCGTAACACGCCTCAATCAACATAATCCATGAATCGAGAATAATTCAAGTTCTTAAGGCATTAGTAGTACCATTCCCTTTCTGGTCTGTCATTGTGTTTGCTAGGCACTATAGTTTATTGAAAAAGTGTTCATTCTGTTTATAATAAGAAATCCATCCCCAAACACAACATTCTAAATGAGGAAAAACAGCCGTTTTGTGCAAAGATATAAACAAATCTGGTCTTTGTCAACAGCCCACATTCTGAAAAGTTCTTTCCAATCGTTATTAACAGCACTGCACAGTGGTAGCGCTACAAGGTGGGCCTAAAATGGCTTGTTGTCATAATTTACACGTCCTTTCTCTCAGAGACTTACTGCAGATGCACCAAAAATCTCGTTTTATCTTTGGTCACTGTGGTTTGGAGCGGACACCCTCCAAGTTTGAGTAGTAAGCCCCATGAATTTTACCACTTTCGGACTACATCCAGATCTTACACTAACCCTTCCTCGGCCAATTCCACATTACCGGCGACTATAAAACAAAGATTTTGGATCTCCTTTGGCACATTGGTAATGAAAATCAGGAATATTGATAAACAGTACATATCTTTGTGAAACACTAGTTGTTACCTGAGGTTTGGTTGTATAATATACAACTCTCACATCAAATGCGTGAAGGTCGAGAGATTGCACAATCAATTTGCTTGCCCTATCCAAAATCCCAATTGCTTGCAGTTCAGATCCATTAACATGCCAGTAACAGAGTCACAAGCTTTGCTGAAATTCAAACAGCGAAAATCTACCTGGTGATCTTTATGTAGAGAACTTAATATAAAACGCCAGAAGATTGACTAGACTGGACTGTTCCTAAACAGATCTATGCTAGGCAGGGGTCAGATGCCTATGAGTTGTCAATTAAGTTCAGTTTATACAACCATTAACCATGCGTATTCAGGCGTCAGCTCCTGTTGCTGTCAGGCACCAGTTAGTCTACTTTCTAACTATCCTCTCTAGGCACTTACAGAATACCGAGGTTAAGCTTACCGGTCGATAGCTGCGTAACGTTGCCTGCAGCCGAACTTGTGTAAAGCAGCTATTGTTGTTGTCTTCCTATACTATCCCACTATTACACTTGCTAGTGACCGGTGGGTTGCACTCCGCCAGGATCTGTTTCTTCTTATCAATCTAGAGAATAAAGCTATTGAAACGAATCGCCTTCACAAATGTTGAACCACCTTATTTTACTTGAGGAGACATGAGCAATTGGCTTTTTGGTTGCGATTGGCATATTTCCTTGAAAAAGACAATCAGAGCTTCGAACTTTCCTTGACCAGTCCTAACCATCATTCCCTCCGTTACCGCTAGAATAAATTTTCCTTCTGACCGTTTTTGTTTGCTTGGAAGTTTGTTCCAAACTCCCCTGAGCTACGCTGTACGTTCTGTACTAACTTGAGAAAAGGGTACATTTCCTATGAGAGACGGCTATCAGGTTTTTGGTCTTTTGTACTCTAGTCTTACGTTTTGCTTTTATGTCTCTATCAACTACAGGGCGCGTGCCTGAAAGACTGATGCATATACTCCTTTAAATATATGGACCAATGAAATCTACCAACAATCGACCTGCTTGGGCGAAGAGCGACAGAAAGTAACCTCCAGTTTTGATAGTAATTGAGAGGCTAATGTCTATGTACACTAAAACTGGTTCACATTTTTTCTTCATTCATAAATAGCAAGAACATTTTGAGGCTAAGCTTGGGAATTTGGATTTAGCAGTGAAGGCGTTCACTTTCATTTAAGATTGAAGCTCAGCAACTGCGGTGCCATTAAGAGATGTTTATAAGTTGAGTAATTCCAATAGTTCTTTCTTTCTCTTATAAAAAGACATATTTGTGCTTGATGAATTTTTATTTCGTAACCTTAAGAAAATAGAAAGCTTCATAAGAATTGATTGAATCAGGTAAAAATTGGGCTGATCGAACTCTAAATGAGCATCGCTGTACTAAAAATGTCAATGCTACTTTAATTGTTGTGTGAAATTCATCAGAAAATAATTTCATTTCTTTTCAGTTTGAAAGCAAAATACGGACAAGATACGCTTAAAAATGCCATTCATGCGGCTGACAGCAAAGAAGAAGCTGCAAAGTAAGCAGTCACCTTGATGACAATATTGTTTTATATAAAATGTTTTACTTGAAAAGAGAAACAACTCAAACAATGAGAACCAAGGGAAAACGGTTACATAAAATGGAGATATAAGAAATCTTTTTTTGTATTTGCAATTCACTATAGAGTACTGATTGAAGAATAAGCATAGATTAATTAAATTCACATTGTAAGGCACTTGTCAATCACGCATAGTGTCTACAACCACATGCCTTGCTTTCAGGATGATTCACTGGTATCATATGGCTCCATGACCCAAGTAATCTCTAAATTACAGCTCTGGTAGTTTGGAATTGATTTGTGTATATATCCTGATGTTCCGTTTGCATGCATTAGTAAAGCTGAAGGAGACCACACATAGATCGGCTCATTCATTGGTTTAGAAACGTGAGGAAGTTAGTTATGATATTGGCAATATGAATTATTCCCCGCCTTATGGGTTGTAATTTAGGGTCTGAGGGTTATTGTTGGTTGGAGATGTATGGAAACATTACTCAGTGTGGAAACTAGGTCTGCGAACAACGTGCAATCTGTTACAACGTTTTTCTCCATAAAGAAACAAAAAAACAAAAACAAATAAAAAGACACCAGAGACTTGGAGCAAAAAATGGAGACTCCTTCTTATATATATATATAACACCGGCTTGAGAACAAAGTTGGTGACAAAGCCATAACAATATTAACAATAACAATCATATTTTCAATGTCTTCAGTGATGCCCTCAGAAATATTCCTCAAGCTGGTAACCAGGTACCAGATATTTCTCGATAGACACATCTAATGATCGAGATATTGTACATTGAGCAAGTTAAATTATTTTTATGCATTATTTTATTGAGATAAGCAGTTAACAATTTGGTAACACAAAAAGCTTTCTTATTTTAAGTAACGGTATTTATGTGAAATGTTTGTAATGCCTAAATGTATGTTCGGTGCATTTGTTTTGAAGAAAATATCAGAGATAACAAAATTCAATATTTTGTTATGATGATGCTACACTCAACTTCTCGTGAATCCGAGTTCCTAGATGCAGACTCTGCTTAAGTTCTACCGGAGTATAATATTGTGCCATTTCGGTTTATTGTGAAAGGTTTCGGGCATTCAAACACTGGTGTGATTTCAATGTGTTTAACATGGTGTTTAAAATTTTTTGTCTTAGTAAGGGAAGTTTGTTCGTGAGTTAAATTTATAAACACTGGTTTGCCTTCTTTATTCAAGTAGTTACGTGAATGCCTTTGTACTCTCCTCTACAATAAACATCAGTTGAATGACTTAAAAAATACCCTGTAAGCAAATAATTGATTTTACGGTTATTGCCATACATCAGGTATGCGTATCCGCTTATCTCCCGCTAATTCAATCATATACTTATAAGCCGAGATTGTATTTCGTCAAAAAATCTTCGAATTCGGTTCTCTGGGAGAAGTGAGTTGTTCCGTCTATTCGTAGGATTGTATTCGCGCCAAAACAACGATGTGTATCCAGAGAAGTGCTATTCTATCATTCAAATGATGTGTGTACCACAATTGTCTTTGAGTCCAGTTGGTTTATTTATTAGTCATTCAATGTGAAGCTTATAGTCAATTGAAACGCGGACTTCAAGGAAATAGATGATACAAAAGCCAATCTAAGAAATGCCAACTTGAAAATCGTTTTTATTCGAGGCGAAACATAGTGAACACACGCTTAGCACAGTTTGAGAAAACGAAGACATTGTGAAAGGGGAACCATTCTGTTGCGTGTCTAACATACGCATTTTTCGTTATCGCAAATTTATTCTGACATCTAAGTTTTATTGTTTTGTTGACAAATCCACCATTGATTTGGGTTGCTTTTCAACGATTTTGAGGACAGAATAATTTCCAAAATTAGGTTTATACTACTTATGAGCAGCATAACAGACAACCTTAAAAGTCCTTCAACCAGCATGTTCTTCGTGCAAATTCTTCTAGCTCTATTGACCAAACAGAGTATGGGATTCTTCTTCATACTGAGTGGTAAAAATCTACGGAAATCTATGTATGTCCATTCCAAGTCACCTTCCTGTGTATTGACCGCGTCATAGACCCGTCATCACGAGTTAGGCAAACATCTAAATATGCCAATTGATTCACAATATCAGATCCAAATTTGGAACGGATGTTATTGAAGTAATTGTGCGTCATACTCATAGTATTAGATCCGTGAAGGAAAACGTTTGGGTTATCCCCGGTTTTTCTATATGGCTGTCTCACAGTTGACCCACATGTTCGCTTGTTAATTGACTTGATAAAGGCCTTCCAAGAAGGTCGAAACGTCGTCACTAAAAATAAACTTGTTTTTGGTTTTTTCATCGTCATGGCTAATCCAAACGTTTTCCTTCACGGATCTAATGCCAGTTGATTGTTTGCTTCATTTTCAATCGTTACTTTCAAATTCCGATGCGCATCATTGAAATGAACTAGTACATGTTGCCACTCCGTTCTAGGATAGACCACGCACAAAATATCATCTACGTAATGTTTGTACAGTACACATTGTTCAATATGCGTTTTAAGTGGACCGTTGCTATACCGTCCTTCTGGCGATAGATTTCCTCATTGAACTGGAATTGCATATTGTGAGTGCAGAAGAGTAATAATTCTTTTAGGTCATCTGTCGGTAGGCTTACGTCAATCCCGTTACTTTCGATATAGGTACACAAATAATCAGTTGTTTCGCCGATCGGAACATTCATGAACAGAGATGTAACAGCTAGCGAAAACATGTGGAGATCTTTGATGTTTAAGCCATTCAAGGGGTCAGTGAAACCAGCTGTATCCTTAATGGCTATGCTGGGTTAACATTACCCTCTCCGATTCCAGAAGACGAGCCAACCATTGTGCTGCCGCATGGTAGGGCGAGTTACGCATGTCTAGGATTGGCCTGAGGGGAACTCCACTCTTATGTACTTTGGGCAGTCCATACAATCGTGGAATCGTGGTCCCTGTTGGAGGAATCCGTTCAAAAGTGGCGGTGTCTATAGAGTCCATTTGTTTAAGTTTTTGCAATGTGGTAGGAAGGGCCTTCTCTATTTGGGGTGTCTTGTCATTCTCGTGGGCCATTTTTGTGAACTTCGATCCATCTTATACTGTTTGGTCAACAGAAAAATTTGCACGAAGGACATGCTGATTGAAATGTGCAGAATACCTTTATCCAGAATGGATACCAATAGCGCTTGGTGGAACCTGTGATGCAGCCGCAAGAGGCGTTTCTCAAGACGGAAATTGCTGAGAAGAAGTCTGTGTACATTTCTCTACCATTTAAGGACGACACCTTTTGCAGAGATTGCGCATATAAGGTTATTAAATGCCATCAACAAAACAGTTTACGCGGCTAAGCTTAAAGAAAAACTCAATTCATATCTAGCCCGCTGGTGTATCTACGGTTGCTGTCTCTTTCTGTATTTACCCTTTTACTTGTTCCTGTGGAGCAAAGTATGTCGGCCGCACGACCAGGCGTCTGCCCGAGCGCATCCGTGAACATCACCCTGAGTGATTGCGAAGTGGAGCAATAAAGTCAATCACAAGTGCGGTCGTATAGCACCTTGTCGACAATAATCACATGGTAAACGTGACCGAAGCGTTCCGACCCCCTGTATAGAGTTAAGGCGGGATGGTCTAGACACGTGCGGTTTCGCATTCTAGCCACAGCGGAGGCAGTTTCCATCCGTCTTGAANAAAACCCCCCTCTGTGGGCTCAGCAACAATTTGTGCAAGCACTCAATCTCCCATGTCCGGATTGCCGACAAATGACCCGTCATGAAACATCGGAGCAAGTGATAATTGGGGACCAATTATGAAACAAACTCTTGAATATTTTAATTACTTTCCCTCTCCTTTTTCCTTGTAAATCCTTCTGATACTAGTCATATTTATTGTGTTGTAATGGCATGATTAAGACACACTGAAAATTGCCAATTCGCGTTCTCAACCTTAAAAACGACGAACATGACAGCTTCGATAGAATTAGCTGCCGCCAAAGAGTGACAGGGATATTCAATACATGTGCTACTAATTATATTGTTGTTTTCTTGCGTTAAGCTTTTTTGTATGTGCTTTAGATCAGACTATAAATGATAATAGTGAGCTTTACAGGTAAAAGTCTGATGAACTTAGCCAAAAGCATCCCATTAGAAATTGACTGCATGCACTGAGCGAATGAAGCGAGGATTACACCAAACGACTGATCGTTTCATCCACTTTCTCTTTTTTTTAAAGGGAGAATATCCAAAACAAGAGAGCTCTTTTATTTCATGTGACTAATGGAGAATTTGATTCAATTTCAAAAGGGAAATTCGTCGTGTATACAGCAAGTAAAGCGTAAATTGAAAAGCTAGGAAGCACCGAACAACTGTTTCGACCTGGTTGGGTCCTAGCTTTTCAGTTCATGCTTCATTTACTATATACACAACGAATTCATCTTGTTTCTTTCTTTTATCAATGAGAACACATTTTTGTTCGCCAATCAATCGTACCTGTTACGAATCGTTGTAAGGCACATGAGTCAGTTTTTATCACTCATCTTGCGTATGCATCGACCGTTAGTAAGTGGGGCTGGAGTAACTTAAAGACCGAACGTAATAAACGATTGATGATCGATTCTTCCACTACCAAGGGAGATAGCGAATGTAGTGGATGGTTAGGAGAAGGTTACACCTTCTGCTTGCGATTTTTAATTCTCATTGACATAAGAACGAGCTAAATGACACAAAGTGCACCTTTAAAAGACTGAATGGTGATCAACCAAGTTGTCTTAACCTTCCGTTACAACTGTAGCTACGTCCAACCTTTCCTTTCAAATCCAGTTTCTGTGCACTCCTTTGGATCGTGTCCTTGGTTAAAACTATAATCAGCTAATAAAACGAATAACTAATGAATTATATGCTAATGTTTGCATAAAGTTTACATACAAAAAAAATAACTATTCCAATATCTTGTTTGTCAGTGTACTGACGTCAAAGTAAAACTACGATCCATGATGAGCCAACGAAAGCAAGTATTCTCATGAGTTTAACTGACAAGAATATCGTATAAATTGATCAATTTGTTGAATAAATCGTTCTCAGTAAATTTGAGTACGACTAAAATTATAATAATTTAAAATATTTCTCTTTATTTAATAGAGAGTTGGCCTTCTTCTATCCGAATTTTGTACCACCAACGGTGCTTGTTCGACGGGTACGAACAGCTGCAGAAGCTACGGAAGCGACCAGTATGGCCGATTCCAGTATGCGACCAAGTCAATATTTGGGATTCGGACCAACTCCGCCGGGGATACAACGCACAGTGGCTCTGCTACGACCAAAGGCCTATGAATTGTATAAAGAAGAGATATTGGAAAAGATCAAAGAGGCCGGATTCGTGGTGGCTATGCAGAAGGAGATACAGTTGACCAAAGAGCAAGCAGAAGAATATTACAGTGAGCATCGAGGTGAAACGTACTTTGGTGAACTGACCACAGTGATGTCCAGTGGACCGATTCTTGCACTATTATTGGCCAGACAAGTGAGTCATTTTTTCTCGCTGTGTTTCTGTCTTGTTTGCTGCCAGGCATTATGTCAGATATCGTAATTCAAATGAGTACGCATTCATTTCTTCAAAGATAAATTTTGTTGATTGATCATAGGTTATTAATTGCCACTTCAAACGTTCCTAGTGCTGATTTCAGATGCTCAAAGTAATGGACGGATAAACTTTTGTCAGATTTGTCAATGAGGAAAAGTGGTAGAATATTAATCGCCAGAATTTCACCAAGGCTCAGGTGCAAAAACCGCACATGCTGTAGAGAGCTGCGTCTCAACTAACACTTGTGTTTATTAAAAGTGAAATATGCGTTTAAACAAGGATGGGATATACGGAAGGCTCATGTGCGTGGAGGTGGTGTCGGATGATAATAAAAGGCGAACTATTGTAGAAAATGAAATGGAGAAATGAACCAAAAAAGTAACAAAATAATCATCCCGCAAGGTTTAACCTTTTTTGGATTTTCTGTAGTTCTTTTCATTCCCCTTTCCAATCCGGATTGATCCCTGTTATCCAGTCAGTGAATGTATTGCGAATCTTCTCCGTGGCTCTGACGACTTGCGATTTCCACAACGATAGTGATATTTTTCTAATTACATACAGAAATGAAGTTAGGCGGCGGTAATAGGATTCGAACATATCAGCCTCCTCCCAAGACCACGGAATTATTACACCAGTTGACTGCAGTCTTTGGCTGGGAACTTTTGTGCTTTAGATGTGGTAGCTTTCTTACAACGATATATCTTGTCCATCCATGTGACTTTAAAAAGAAAAGTGAATGAAACGCCCAGGTTATACGACCAAAGTAAATGTATGCAACAAGAGAACGTTTACATGCCAAATAAAGTGAAGTGAATACACGTGGTTCCATGATGTTCGGAGACTGGCATGTTGACCAGCTTTCTTACGGATCTCAGAAACCCGGACTAACTAGCGAACAGGAAGAAAAAACTACTCTTGATAGATGGGACAGTTACATTACAGTATAAATTACAGTATATATTAGGGCATTGTGGTACCAATTTTGCCAGAGGAGGTTAGGTAGCTAAGAGGTGCAGAGGATCATTACAGTAGGGAAGCGATGTGTCTCAAGTGTAACAAGGTGCGGGTTGCGAATACCGTCGAGTAGATCTTAGTGCACAGTGGAACACGTGCAATTGTGATCATCTCTTTATTGGTGATCATCTGTTTGTCTTTTCTGCAACTGAAACTGCAGTAGTACACCCTTACATCCACTCGCGGAAGCCGTGTAAATTCAACAAATGCTTCTTGGTACGCACAACCTACTCACAAATGTGAGTAGCACCTCAAAACACCAGTACAAACAACCCCTAACCATGCAATTTCGTGCAACAGTTTTGGTTGTGTTCATCGGAAATGCTAAAACAAGAATGAACGATAGAGAGTGCATCTGGAAATGTGAAAAACCGCACTTTTCAGAGGCCATTCTTGAATTTCATGCGAGATCAAGAAATGACCAAATTGGAGGAAAATCATGCAATGGGTCTACGAATGTAAAACGGATTTCCGGGAATGATTGTTTTACTCATTGTCCAATATCAACTCTTCCAATGACCCATGGTATCGGATTTGTGGTTTCTGATACACCCCTGAAGTTAGCACTTTGGTCTTTGCTTAACAGCAGAAGTCATTGAAAATCCTAACTGTTCCCCTTCGCGCCTCCTCCTCCGTGAGGTACAAACAATTTTCAACCTAAATATGCTTTTATATAAATTTTAGAGACAGAATCTTTGCATTATGTTTTCCGAGTTTTGGTCTCATACCTTGGCGACTGGATGATTTATTCCCGACAATCTGATTTTCTGATTGTCAGTTGATCTGTAAGGGCTAACAAAAGGCCATAAACAGTTATTTCGTCCTTGATTACTGCCGCAAATCTAACTGTGGACCTTTGAATTGGGAATCAAAGCCGCTTAATACTCCTGAGATACACAGTAGCGGTGGTCACAGGCAGGCGGATGTGGATGTCGCGACGGCGCACAGATGTCTCAAGTTGACACATGCCAACCGAGCCTTCTGTATGCGGGCTGACACGTCATCCGTGATGTGTTCACCGGGTGAGATTTAGCTGCCCAAATAACAAAACTCATCCACCTATTCTATTACTTCCCCAGTTAGAAAGACTGGGTGCTGGACCAACCCAATCTTGCAGCAACATCTTACACTTTGAAGGTGCAAAACGCATACCGCATATGGCTACTCTGGCATCCAAGCTATTCAGAAAAGCTCGTAACTTACCTGGGTCTTCACTTAGTAGCAAAATGTCGTCTGCATACTCCAGATCAGACAGTCTGTCACCTCGAA